ACGGGCACCGCTCCCCGAATACAAACCGCCCGTCGGGTGGGGGTGGGGACTAACCACCACCCTCACAACCCCTCACCTCCACGCTCTGTTCATCCATTGCTTCCGGCTCTCTGCGGGGCCGTCGGCGACCCGCGGACTCCGTACTCTGCCCTCTTAGGCGCCGGCCCGAGGTCGCCAGATCAAATCACCGGGAAAAGCGCGGCACCCACGTCATGGGGCTCCGACAACCGCCCCGCCTGCGCGCCCCATCGCTTCGGGTCCGGCGTCGACTACCCCCATTTCGCCATTTTTACCAGCGCGCCCGCCCCGGGGCGCAGAGGTAGGGCGAGCGGCGGCCGCAGCTCCTTCCTCCCGGCTGAGCCGCCGGCCAGCAGCCGCTAGGGAACGTCGGCCCACGTGACGCGGCCGCGCGAGTGTGGAACTGCCGCTGGAGTTGGGCGAAGATGGCGCTACAGAGAATTAGCAAACACCAACGGTAACCAGGGCAGCTGGGGGTGCGGCGGAGGGGAAGGCGCGAAGCGCATGCGCCCAGGACGCTGCGGGAGGGGAGGAGCGGAGAGGGTTCGCGTAGTTCCCGCGTTGCGGGACGCACACGAGACTTGGCGGTTAGCTGCCGCGTGCTGCGTGCCTCCGGTCCCAGCCGGCGCCGGCGGCCTGAGCGCGGGGTTCCGCTACGCCACGCCCACCTCGGCGGAGGGCGGGGCCCCACGGCTCTCGAAATTGCGCGCCAAAGACCGAGCTAGGTGTTCCGACTCTGAGATTCTCGGGGGGAGCCCGGGCCGTCCGCATTTTCACCCACCACTGTGGGATTCGGCAGCAGGTGGTCCGTGAACCCGACTTTTGAGAAACCCTGCTGCAGAGGGTTCGTAGTTAGTTGTTCTCTCGAATAAAGAGTCTAAGGTTTGAGGCCGGGCGCGGTGGCTCAAGCCTGTAATCCCAGCACTTTGGGAGGCCGAGGCGGGTGGATCACGAGGTCAAGAGATCGAGACCATCCTGGTCAAAGTGGTGAAACCCCGTCTCTACTAAAAATACAAAAAAAAATTAGCTGGGCATGGTGGCGCGTGCCTGTAATCCAGCTACTCAGGAGGCTGAGGCAGGAGAATTGGCTGAACCCAGGAGGCGGAGGTTGCGGTGAGCCGAGATCGCGCCATTGCACTCCAGCCTGGGTAACAGGACTGAAACTCTGTCTCAAAAAAAAAAAAAAAACAGCCTTAAGGTTTGTAGGATTTGCGTTCTACCTACCAAGGCAAATGAAATTAGAAAGCTCCAGACTGTGAAGCCTGGAGAGGTGTCATTTCTCATTTCGGTGTTGAGAGGACCACACACTGACGGCTTCATTCCCACACCTCACCCTTTATTCTTGCCGCCTTAGTTGCCCTCGTGGGACTACTGAAAGGGCAAAGGGTATCAGCGATATTCATTTTCCCATAAAAAGGATCTGTCTTCTACAGTTACCTTCCAGAAGAAATGTGTAAAGTTTGCAAGAATTGAAAAGGTGCCTGAGTCAAAGAGGGCACATCAAATTCATAATTTGAATTTAATTTTTCCTGTATTTATTGCAAACAAATAATTATACCTAACCGACCTAGAGTGCTCATATAGAGAATCACCAATATTTAGAAATACGTCCTTGAATATCAGGCATTTAGGCTTATAGGTGATGGACAGCAACAATTTTCTTTTTAACTACTTGAGTCATGAACAAGATTAAAATTTAGAGAGATTAATCTGAGGGCCGGGCACTGTGGCTCACGCCTGTAATCCCAGCACTTTGAGAGGCCTAAGCGGGCAGATCGCCTAAGGTCGGGAGTTGGAGACCAGCCTGACCAACATGGAGAAACCCCATCTCTACTAAAAATACAAAAAATTAGCCAGGGGTGGTGGTGTATGCCTGTAATCCCAGCTACTTGGAGGCTGAGGCAGGAGAATAGCTTGAACTTGGGAGATGGAGGTTGTGGTAGCCAAGATGGTGCCATCGCTTGCACTCCAGCCTCAGCAACAGAGCCAGATCCTGTCTCCAAAAAAAAAATAAGGTATATCCCTATAATAAATTACATCTGTTAAAAGTAAGAGATGTGAGCCGGGCACGGTGGCTCAAGCCTGTAATCCCAGCACTTTGGGAGGCCGAGGCGGGTGGATCACGAGGTCGAGAGATCGAGACCATCCTGGTCAACATGGTGAAACCCCGTCTCTACGAAAAATACAAAAAATTAGCTGGGCATGGTGGCGCGTCAGGAGGCTGAGGCAGGAGAATTGCCTGAACCCAGGAAGGGGAGGTTGCAGTGAGCCGAGATCCTGCCATTGCACTCCAGCCTGGGTAACAAGAGCGAAACTCTGTCTCAAAAAAAAAAAAAAGGAAAATTAGAATTGAAGAGCGGGCATAGTGATTCATGCATCCCAGTACTGTGGGAAGCTGAGGCTGGCAGATCTCTTGATTCCAGGAGTTGGAGGCCATCCTGGACAACATGATGAAACCCAGTCTCTACAAAATATACAAAAATTAGGTAGGGTTGGTAGCAATACACCTGTGGTCCCAGCAGGTACTTGGGAGGCTAAGGCCAGAGGATTGCTTGAGCCCTAGAGGCTGCAGTGAGCCATGATAGCACCACTGCACTCTAGCCTGGGTGACAGAGCAAGAACCTGTCTCAAATAAAACAATGAATGAAAATAAAATCTAAGTACAGCGCCAGTATAAGGTACACTATCAACTACTTTTGTTGAAAATTGTTTAATTTATATACATGTAGAAATGCCTTTAGAAATTGCTTGCAGATTACCTCAAGAATTGATATGTCTGTGATTTTTAAATTCTGAAACATGTATTATCTATAACTTAAGACATAAAAACACTATAATCACATAGGAGAAAACAATCCAGATAAGAAAGAACAGATCTGACTGGGCGCTGTGGCTCACACCTATAATCCCATCTCTTAGGGAGGCAGAGGTGGGAGGATAGCTTGAACCCAGGTGGGAGGATAGCTTGACCTGCCTGGGCAATATAGTGAGACCCCATTCTCCACAAAAAGAAAAAACAAACAATAAAAGGACACACACACACACAAAAGATCTGGCCGCGTGTGGTGGCTCACGCCTGTAATCCAAGCACTTTGGAGGCCAAGGCGGGCGGATCACCTGAGGTCGGGAGTTCAAGACCAGCCTGACCAACATAGTGAAACCCCGTCCTAAAAAAAGAAAAAAAAAGGGCCGGGCGCCGTGGCTCAAGCCTGTAATCCCAGCACTTTAGGAGGCCGAGGCAGGTGGCTCATGAGGTCGAGAGATCGAGACCATCCTGGTCAACATGGTGAAACCCCGTCTCTACTAAAAATACAAAAAATTAGCTGGGCATGGTGGCACGTGCCTGTAATCCCAACTGCTCGGGAGGCTGAGGCAGGAGAATTGGCTGAACCCAGGAGGCGGAGGTTGCGGTGAGCCGAGATCGCGCCATTGCACTCCAGCCTGGGTAACAAGAGCGAAACTCCGTCTCAAAAAAAAAAAAAAAAAGATCTTAATTAAGGAGGCATGAAGATGGTATGGATGGTATGGAGGTTGTATACTATGATCATTTCAGAGACAGAATTGTAGGTTTTATTGACTAAGAAGATAAAGGGACGCAAATTAGTTATACAGGTTTTAATTCCAGACAACAGAATATCCAGGCTATTAACAATAAAATCATCCTCAGGATTCATCTGGAAAAGAAATAAGAAAAATAAATAAATAAATAAAATCAGTAAGTATTCTGGACATGTTCAGTTTCAATATTCAGGTAGGGGATTTTATTGGAAATATGGATCTAGAGCTAATGGAAGAAGTTAAATTTAGGAGCCATTCACAAAGAGGCTTGAGAAACATGAAAATGTATTGAGAAGTGCATAGAAAACAATGTTAAGAGGGCTGTGCATAGAGAATAACATTTGGAAGATAACTGAAGGAAATCACAGAAGAAAAATAGTACAATCTAATTTTTCTCCCTAACTGAAAGCAAAACCACTTTTAATACTATTGTAATAAGTATTACGACCTCTTCATGATACCATTTTTTCAATCCCAACAATGATCATCACATCCCAAAGCCATCTCATGACAAGAGCTTTCTAAACACTAATTGCCTGAACACTGAAGAAAATTAATATGATACTAAGGTGTAACTTATTTCTCTGAAATTAAAAAAAGGGAGGCTTTCTGTTCTTGAAATATTCAAACTAGTATTAAACCTTTTTTTTTTTTTTTTTTTTTTTTTTGAGACGGAGTTTCGCTCTTGTTACCCAGGCTGGAGTGCAATGGCGCGATCTCGGCTCACCGCAACCTCCGCCTCCTGGGTTCAGGCAATTCTCCTGCCTCAGCCTCCTGAGTAGCTGGGATTACAGGCACGCGCCACCATGCCCAGCTAATTTTTTGTATTTTTAGTAGAGACGGGGTTTCACCATGTCGACCAGGATGGTCTTGAACTCTCGACCTCGTGATCCACCCGCCTCGGCCTCCCAAAGTGCTGGGATTACAGGCTTGAGCCACCGCGCCCGGCGAAATATTCAAACTAGAAAGGACAATTTTAACTGAAGCTGTTCTCACAATCCTGTTTTTCAGCTATTGTAAGTTTGTTAATGGACAAACATGCTCATAACTTAAATTTTTAAATTATGTAAAAGTATAATTCTGTAACCTGCAGAACATCTGATGCATTTTTCCTAGTCTTTTCAATCCTTATTTCTTATTATATGTATGTCATATCATTTATTGAAGGCTTACTAAATACCGAACCCTGTATTAAAACACTTTATTATCTTGTCCTTCCAAACATCCTGACACTCAGAAGTTAAGTGATCTGCACAGAGTCATAGCTAGAATTTAAAACCTGCTACTTACATCTCAGGTATGACTCCAAAGCCCAATCTTCACTATAAAACTGCAGTATCTGCTTCCCCTCTTCCCCACTTAGCATAGTTTCAGCATCTCCCAGAACATTAACAGTAATAATTTATTGGCAACTTGACCTCTTATTGTATACATACAACATGATTTATTTTCCTATTTACCTAGTACTAGCCAAATATGCATGTATATTGCCATTGTGAACAAACCTGTGATTAACATCTTTGTATCAAGATCTGCCTCTACTTTGAACAGTTTCCTCATTGCCAATAGTAATTTTTAAATAAACAGGGAAATGGACACATACACATAACACACCTAAAACTGGCAAGTAGCAGGTAAGTGCTCTTCTAATTTCAGTTTCTTAGCTTTCATGTAGAATGAACAATTACAGTAATAAAGGCTAAAAGAAAACAAAAGCGTTACTGAAATACAACAGGGACAGTCTAAAGCAACATGAAAAAGCAAGTTCATGCTGCTCAACATTAGCAGGCAAGGTAAATAGAGAAAAAAAAAATACACAAAAGTGGCTATCACAGAAAAGCCAGCTTATTACTTTAGATTTTGTGGGAGACTACAGGTCACATAAAAGCAGTCTTAACAATAATGTGACCACATATGCAATCAACATTTACAAAATGAAATTAGATATAATGTATAATACAAATATTTTTGCCTATACTTTAATTTCCAAAGCATGGAATTCACATAAAATGACTGAAATGTACATAAACATTCTTTTATGATAGACTAGAACGTCTACGTTATCATGACTTAGAAAAAGAAAACAGATGCAAAATAGTGTTGAGACTTTCTTGCCTGAAATTACAAGATGAAGTGTGTATATGTGTGTGTGCACGCTCATGTGCACATATATTTAAATCCTTTTATTCTCATTTGATCCTTTTGGCTGAACTTTATTCATATATTATCTGCCCTTTTTCTTTTAGCTCCTTTCATGAAAGGCATCATTATTCAGTCATCGAAGCCAAGCCTCCTTCACCAGCCCCCAACCTCTAGACATCAAGTGTTAACAAGACATCTTCCTAAATTTATCTGGAATTGAGCTCTTCTCTGTTAGAGTTTCCTTTCCAAGTCCATTTCTTCAAAAATCTGGCATGTGAGATTTTAATTGGTCTGCCACAGTTTTCTCTTCATCAGTCAATGGTGACAGCTAGAAAATAAACAATAAAATCTTTATTTCAAAAATCTTCAAAGACTGTTAAATCAGTTTACTTAACTTCTGCACTGTCACACTAATAAATGTTTCCATAAGCTTATACTTTATATGTAATCACAGATTTAGAAAGACAAGGAGAAAAACAGATATTTGGCTATTTATATACAGGTCCTGTGATATTTGAGCTCTAAAGAACTTGCAGTTAAGTTGAAGAAACAAGACCAAGAAATCAAACAATTTAAGGATTATAGCAGAACCAAAGAAGTCATGTCTGGATGCCATATTCTAAAAGTACGGTTGGCTGGGTGCGGTGGCTCACGCCTGTAATCCCAGCACTTTGGGAGGCCAAGGCAGGTGGATCACGAGGTCAAGAGATGGAGACCATCCTGTCCAACATGGTGAAACCCATAAAAATGCAGAATTAGGCCAGGCGCGATGGCTCAATCCTGTAATTCCAGCACTTTGGGAGGCCGAGACGGGTGTATCACCTGAGGTCAGGAGTTTAAGACCAATCTGGCCAAGATGGTAAAACCCCATCTGTACTAAAAATACTAAAATTAGCCGAGCATGGTAGTGCGTGCCTGTAATCCCAGCTACTCAGGAGGCTGAGGCAGGAGAATCGCCTGAACCCAGGAGGCGGAGGCTGCAGTGAGCCGAGATCGCGCCACTGCACTCCAGCCTGGGTGACAGAGCAAGACTCCATCTCAAAAAATTAAGAAAGAGGCTGGGTGCAGTGGCCCACACCTGTAATCTCAGCACTTTGGGAGGCCAAGGCAGGTGGACCACCTGAGGTCAGCAGTTTGACCAGCCTGACCAACATGGTGAAACTTCATCTCTACTAAAAATACAAAAAATTAGCTGGGCATGGTGGCAGGTGCCCGTAATCCTACTCAGGAGGCTGAGGCAGGAGTATTGCTTGAACCTGGGAGGTGGAGGTTGCAGTGAGCCGAGATTACACCATTATCCTCCAGCCTGGGTGACAAGAGCAAAACTGTCTCAAAAGAAAAAAAAGAAAGAAAAAGAAGGCTGGGTGCGGTGGCTCACACTGTAATCCCAGCACTCTGGGAGGTCAAGTCAGGCGGATCACCTGAGGTCCAGCCTGACCAACATGGAGAAACCCTGTTTCTACTAAAAATGCAAAATTAGCCAGGCATGGTAGCACATGCCTATAATCCCAGCTACTCGGGAAACTGAGACAGGAGAATCACTTGAACCCAGAGGCAGGGGTTGCAGTTAGCCAAGATCGTGCCATTGCACTCCAGCCTGGTCAACAAGAGTGAAATTGTGTCTCAAAAGAAAAGAAAAGAAAAAAATATATATCATTGCACAGTAACTTCAGAAAAAGGAAAGACTTCAGGAACGGCTTATTCAGCAGTTTAACAATGTAAGGACTCAGTTTTTTGCATCTCACAGCTCTAATATCTTGGGTGCCTTTACCCTCAAGCTGACAGCAAATGGCTTTAGCAGTGCTAGGTCACACAACTCTACACAATGTTCAGAAGAAGAAAAAATCTTTCTCTTCTCAGTGTTCTCTCAGCAGTGAGTAGTCTTCCTAGTTACCTACTTCCAGGCTTTCCTTCCTCACATGTAATTTGGGTTACAAACCCATTCCTGAACCACTGTTAGTTAAAACAGAAAGTCTATTCCCCATGCCAATCAGATGTACTCCAGGAGCTGAGGATGGGGCCAGATTCATCTCAGACATGACACATATCTCAAGAAAGTCAGTATAGTCATGTGTCACTTAATGACAGGAATATGCTCTGAGAAATGCATTGTTAGACAATTTCATCCTGTGAACATCACAGAGGGTACTTTCACAATCAGAGACGGTATATATATATATACACCTAGGCTATATGGTTTAGCTTACTGCTCCTGGACTACAAATCTCAACAGCATGTTGCTGTACTAAATACTGTAGGCAATGGTAACACAATAGTATTTTTTTTTTTTTGAGACAGAGTCACCAAGCACCAGGCTGGAGTGCAGTAGCACGATCTCGGCTCACTGCAATCTCCACCTCGTGGGTTCAAGCAATTCTCCTGCCTCAGCCTCCCGAGTAGCTGGGACTACAGGCGCATGCCCGACCAACATGGCAAAACCCCATCTCTACTAAAAAAAAAAAAAAAACAGAATAGTATTTTTATAGCTAAACATCTGAACATAGAGTACAGTAAAAAATACAGTATTATAATCTAGGACTACTGTCATATATGCAATCTACTATCATATATGCAATCTACTGTTGACCAAAACATCATCATGCATTCCATGTCTATACACTGGTAGGCAGGAAAGAAGAACAGATGCTGAGAAAGAAAAACAGCCAACAGCATCCACCAAAAGCTAAAGAAGGGAGGCTGAAGGGAAGTTGTAAGAGACTTACACAGAGCACCAACAAACAGGCTGGCTGAAACAAAGTGTTATATGAGGAATTAATAGAAGGTACAACCTGAAGAATCAAGTAGTTACAAATCTGCCAATTATATAGGTCATCTCTAGAGAGACTGCCAAATCTAGAACACCCCAGACCTACAGAATCAGAATCTCTAGGGCAGCACTGTCCAATAAAACTTTCCATGATGCTGGAAATATTCTATATCGGCACTGTCCAATGAGTAGGTGAAGAAGTTAATGTTCACTTTTATTTAACTACCTGAAATTTAAATTTCCTTTTTTTCTTTGAGATGGAGTTTTGCTCTTGTGACCAGCTGGAGTGCAATGGTGTGATCTTGGCTCACTGCAACCTCCACCTCCTGGGTTCAAGAGATTCTCCTCCCTCAGCCTCCCGAGTATCTGGGCCTACAGGTGCCCACCACCACAACCAGCTAATTCTTTGTATTTTTTTAGTAGAAATGGGGGTTTCACCATGTTGGCCACAGTGGTCCCAAAATACTGACCTCAGGTGATCCATCCACGTCGGCCTCCCAAAATACAGGCATGAGCCACTGTACCCAGCCTAAATTTAAATTTATATAGCCACATTAGTTTATGTAAATAGGAAAGCCAAGCTCTAGAAGAGCCACAAAACCCATATAATTGTGATATGCAGTTGGTTCCACGGATCAAACCAACATTTGCCCAACATATTCACAAGGACAAAATGAAAAACAATCATGTCTTACTACAACCCAAACAGTCACAGGATTTCCTTCTTCTATCTCAAAGAAAGGAAATGTTATTCTGACAAGACTTGGTTTTTTCATTTTCTTTTTGTTTTAGAGACAGGGTCTCATTCTGTCACCTCGGCTGGAGTACAGTGGTGTGGTCATAACTCACTGCAGCCTCTAACTCCTGGGCTCAAGCAATCATCCCACCTCAGCCTCCCAAGTAGCTGCGACTACAGTTGCACACCACCACACCCAGCTGTAAGACTTGTTTGTTCTCAATGAATCCATGTTACTCCTTGTTATTGCTACAAAAGCATTCAGACCATCTGTTTAATAAATTCTCAAAGACTTTTTCCAGAAATTAAGGTCAAGTTAACCAGTCTAAAGTTTGTAGAAATTTTTCTTCTTTATCACACATATTTTGGAAGATCACAGAACATCACATATTCTACTTTTAATGCCTTTTTAATCTTCTATTTATTGTTATATTTGTTTTGGGGGGTTGTTTGTTTTGCTATTTTTTGTTTGGGTGTAAGTTTAGTCCCTTTATTCTTTCAATGAGATCACTTTTATAATTGAGCATATTTAAACCTCAGTGTTGGCCAGGCATGGTGGCTCATGCCTGTAATCCCAGCACTTTGAGAGGCCAAGACAGGTGAATCACTTGAGGTCAGGCGTTCCAGACCAACAGAGTGAAACCCCATCTCTACAAAGAATACAAAAAAAATTAGCTGTGCATAGTGGCATATGCCTATAGTCCCAGCTACTCAGGAAGCTGAGGCCGGAGAATTGCTTGAACCGGGGAGGTGGAGGTACATATAATAAAGAATGTGTGATTTCAGACTATTTATAAAAGCTTATCATATACATAATTTTTTTGCATTTAATTTACTAGCATGTGACACCACCCTTACTGTTTTAAATTCTATCTCTACGTTACCTCTACTCCCTGTTTAATTGCCCTTCCTTCCTCTACCATTCATCTCCTTGTGACATAACAGATACAACTAAGGTATCATTTTATAGTTGGTTTTTTTTTTTTTTTGTGAGACGGAGTTTCGCTCTTGTTACCCAGGCTGGAGTGCAATGGCGCGATCTCGGCTCACTGCAACCTCCACCTCCTGGGTTCAGGCAATTCTCCTGCCTCAGCCTCCTGAGTAGCTGGGATTACAGGCACGTGTCACCATGCCCAGCTACTTTATTGTATTTTTAGCAGAGAGGGGTTTCACCATGTTGACCAGGATGGTCTCGATCTCTTGACCTCGTGATCCACCTGCCTCGGCCTCCCAAAGTGCTGGGATTACAGGCTTGAGCCACCGCGCCCGGCCTCATTTTATAGTTCTAACCAGACATTATTCTATTTTTTCGCCTCCATTTGCAATATAAAGAATTCTTGATCAAACTGACCTGGGTAATTACCTTTCTGATTTACTCTAGCTACAAACCCATAATTCAAAGTATCTTAAGGCAAAATTTAGTGCAGAGTTGGCAAATAAATTCTACATATGCAGCTGTTCCTCCTTTCTATGCTTATGGCAGATAGTACTATTTTCTGCCATGCCCAGACACAGCTCCTTAATGCAGATTCTAAGCAACCATTTTCCAGACATCTGAGTCTCACTACCACTTACAGAAACCAGCCAAGCTGCTAGATTTAATAAGTATTACCAAGTTTTCTGCCATGGTTACATAATCCAAGACGGCACACTTCTTTATTAACCATGTCAAGTCCAAATGCTTATTTTTAAATAAATAGAAATAAGAGCTATTATACTTCAGGGTATCAAGAAAATCTTTTAATAGTTCAAACTGACTGCCGAGTTTCAAAATTTAAGTTACAGCAGGTTTATTTTTCAAAACAACACTTAGAGCTAAAGCTATACAAATCTAACCTGTCAACTGAAAGCATTACCTCCAGGTCTGTTTGCTTTTGTAGGTTTTGTATCACATTCATAGTCTTATTCACAGTTGCACAAATGCGGCTCTTAGTCTCTTTCTGCTCAACAACAACTGGTTTAAAGCGTGCATATAAAGTTTGATATCGAGACTTTATCGCTGACAATTCCTTTAAGAGTGTAACTGGATTTTTCTGTGTCAGGAAAAAAAGTTAGCATGTATTAAATTACGGAAATGAAAGATTAAGCTTCTTTTTAGGAATTAAAATAATGTACATACAATACATTCTACCATCCATTTAATTGAACACTGTTGAGTAGTTAATTATGCAGCCACGTGACATCAGAAGGGAGGTGGAGAAGAGAGAAAAGTATAAGACCCAGATCTTATTCTCAAGGAATTTATAGCCTAGGTACAGAAATAAACCACCAAAAAAATCAGCAATATTAAACAGAAAATAAGGTTATCTTAGATATATAACATTTGATGCACAGTCCACAATAATTAATTATACAATATTTCTAAAATATAATTCTAAATGCTATTCAGAAGAAGATTAAAGGCACTATTTGGACTTGTTCTTAAAGAATAAGACAACTTGAAACTACTTATAAAATACTTTTCTTTTTTTTTTTTGAGACTGAATTTCGCTCTTGTTGCCCAGGCTGGAGTGCAATGGCGCAATCTTGCAATCTTGGCTCACCGAAACCTCCACCTCCCGGGTTCAAGCGATTCTCCTGCCTCAGCCTCCTGAGTAGCTGGGATTACAGGTGCCCACCATCACACCCGGTTAATTTTATATTTTTAGTAGAGGCAGGTTTCTCCACGTTGATCAGGCTGGTCTTGAATTCCCGACTTCAGGTGATCCACCCGCCTCAGCCTCCCAAAGTGCTGGGATTACAGGCGTGAGCTATCATGCTACCAAGTGCCCAGCTCTTTTTTGTTGAGATGGAGTCTTGCTCTGTCACTCAGACTGGAGTGCAATGGTGTGATCTTGCCTCACTGCAACCTTCACCTCCTGGGTTCAAGCAATTCTCTTGTCTCAGCCTCCTATAATCCCAGAGTAGCTGGGATTATAGGCACATGCCACCACACCCAGCTAATTTTTGTATTTTTAGCAGAAATGGGGTCTCCAACATGTTGGCCATGCTGGTCTTAAACTCCTGACCTCAGATGATCCGCCTGCCTCAGCTCCCCAAAGTGCTAAGATTACAGTCATGAGCCACCAGGCCTGGCCCACAATTTCTTTTTTTTAAACTGAGAATGTAAAATACTTTAGATGCCTTAGAAAACAGTTTGGCATTGATTCTGACTGTGACAAAAAAATTAAAAGTAGAGCCGGGCGCGGTGGCTCAAGCCTGTAATCCCAGCACTTTGGGAGGCTGAGGCGGGCGGATCACGAGGTCAAGAAATCGAGACCATCCTGGTCAACATGGTGAAACCCCGTGTCTACTAAAAATACAAAAAATTAGCTGGGCATAGTGGCGTGTGCCTGTAATCCCAGCTACTCAGGAGGCTGAGGCAGGAGAATTGCCTTAACTCAGGAGGTGGAGGTTGCGGTGAGCCGAGATCGCGCCATTGCACTCCAGCCTGGGTAACAAAAGCGAAACTCCGTCTCAAAAAAAAAAAAAAAAAAAGTAGAAAAAAATAGAAAACAGGGCCGGGCGCGGTGGCTCAAGCCTGTAATCCCAGCACTTTGGGAGGCCGAGGCGGGTGGATCACAAGGTCAAGAGATCGAGACCATCCTGGTCAACATGGTGAAACCCCGTCTCTACTAAAAATACAAAAAATTAGCTGGGCATGGTGGCGCGTGCCTGTAATCCCAGCTACTCAGGAGACTGAGGCAGGAGAATTGCCTGAACCCAGGAGGCGGAGGTTGCGGTGAGCCGAGACTGCGCCATTGCACTCCAGCCTACAAGAGCAAAACTCCATCTCAAAAAAAAAAAAAAAAAAAAAAAAAAAATTAGAAAACAGTTTGGCAGTTCCTCAAAATATTAAACGTGAGTTACTATATGGCCAGCAATTCTACTCCAAGGTATATACCCAAGAGAAAGGAAAACATGTCCACACAAAAACTTGTAAATATATGTACACAGCAGCATTATTCATAGCAAGCAAAAGATGAAAACAACAGAAATAACCATCAACTGATGATTGGATAAGAAAATGGAGTATAGGTTTGTAATCCTAGCACTTTGGGAGGAGGCCAGAGGCAGGCGGATTACAAGGTCAGGAGTTCGAGATCAGCCTGTCCAATATGGTGAAACCCTGTTTCTACTAAAAAACACAAAAATTAGCCAGGCATGGTGGCACACACCTGTAGTTCCAGCTACTCAAGTGGAGGAGGCAGAAGAATCACTTGAACCCGGGAGGCAGAGGTTGCAGTGAGCTAAGATCGTGCCACTGCATTCCAGCTTGGGTGACAGAGTGAGACTGTGCCTTTAAAAAAAAAAGAAAGAAAGAAAAAGAGGCCAGGCACAGTGGCTCACGCCTATAATCCCAGCACTTTGGCAGGCAGAGGCAATCACCTGAGGTCAGGAGTTCAAGACTAGCCTGGGCAACACGGTGAAATCCTGTCTCTATTAAAATACAAAAAACCAGCTGAGCGTAGTGACGGATGCCTGTAGTCCCAGCTACTTGGGAGGCTAAGGCAGGAGAATCGCTTGAACCCAGGAGGCAGAGGTTGCAGTGAGCCAAGACTGTGTCACTGCACTCCAGCCTGGGCGACAGAGTGAGACTCTGTTTTCAAAAAAAAAAAGTTAAGAAACATCCTAAGTGAAAGAAGCTATACATGAAAGGTCACATATTATATGATTCTATTTATTGAAGTGTTCAGACAACCAACCTATGAAGACAGAAAGTAGATTCATCTTTCGGAGCAGTGGGACAGCAGGGAAAGATGATAAGGAGTAACTATTTATGGATATGAGGTTTCTTTCTGAAGTGATGAAAACATTATTGTGGCAATGGCTACAAAACTGTGAATACTAAAAGCCACTTAACTGTATACTTTAAAGGAGTGAATTTATTGGTATATAAATTATAGCTCAATAAAGCTGTTTTTTTAAAAAGTTGTAGGGAAAATAAAAACCCACAGGTGAAACAAAGATGAGAGATGGAAAGAAAAGGAAAAGTGGGAGTACCACACTTCAGTGTCTTTCAAAATAGTACTTGAAAGATACTAAGCCAGACATGGTAGTTCACACCTGTAATCCTAGCACTTTGGGAGGCCAAGAAAGGTAGATCACTTGAGTCCAGGAGTTTAAGACCAGCCTAGGCAACATGGTAAAACCTTGTCTCTACTAAAAATACAAAAAATAGCTGGGTCTGGTGGTGTGTGCCTATAGTTCCAGGCACTTGGAGGACTGGAGTGGGAGGATTGCTTGAGCCCAGGAAGTCAAGGCTGAAATGAACTGAGATCTTGTCACTGCACTCAAGCCTGGATGACATAGTGAAACCCTGTCTTTAAAAAAAAAAAAAGAAAAAAAGGCTGGGCATGGTGGCTCACACCTGTAATCCCAGCACTTTGGGAGGCCGAGGCAGGCAGATCACAAGGTCAAGAGATCAAAACCATCCTGGCCAACATGGTGAAACCCTGTCTCTACTAAAAAAAAAAAAAAAAAAAAAATACAAAAATTATCTGGGCCTGGTGGCACGTGCCTGTAGTCCCAGCTCCTCAGGAGGCTGAGGCAAGAGAATCACTTGAACCTGGGAGGCAGAGGTTGCAGTGAGCCAAGATGGTGCCACTGCACCCCAGCCTGGTGACAGAGCAAGACTCTGTCTCAACTCAAAAAAAAAAAAAAAAAAAACTGACTCACACCAGTCTTTAAACTGAAAAGAACAGATCCTACACTTGATCTTAGCCAAAAGGCCAGGAAACAATATCACAGTAAAGAAAGGAATGAAGGAAGGAAGGGAGGCAGGGGGAGGAAAGGGAAGGAACGAAGGAAACAGAAAGGAAGGGAGGAAAGAAAGGAAGAAAAGGAAGGAAGGGGCTGGGCAAGGTGGCTCAAGCCTGCAGGAGGCTGAGGCGTGTGGCTCACTTGAGGTCAGGAGTTAGAGACCAGCGTGACCAACAAGGTGAAACCCCATGTCTACTAAAAAATACAAAAATTAGCCGGGCGTAGTGGCATGCAGCCATAATCCCAGCTACTTGGAAGGCTGAGGCAGGAGAATCACTTGAACCCAGGAGGCAGAGGTTGCAGTAAGCTGAGATCGCACCATTGCACTCCAGCCTGGGCAACAGAGTGAGACTCTGTCTCAAAAAAAAAAAAAAAAAGAAAAGAAAAAAAAAAGAGAGGTAAAAAGAATAGGGAGTAGAATTCTAGCATTCTATGAAATAAACAGTAGAAACTGAACATTCATGAAATTTTCCCAATTTTTTATAAAATATTAGGTTAACTTGTACTCCTACCCAATCCAAAAAAATTTTTTAATTGTATGGATTTTTTTTTTTTTAGCTTTAATGCAGTATTTCTTGTTTGCTGGCAAGTGCTATCAAAGATAAATACTGGTCAGGCGTGGTAGCTCATGCCTATAATCCCAATACTTTGGGAGATTGAGGCGACAGATCACTTGAGGTCAGGAGTTTGAGACCAGCCTAGACAACATGGTGAAACCCTGTCTCTACTAAAAATAAATAATTTTTTTTATTTATTTTTATTTTTTTTTTTTTTGAGACGGAGTTTCGCTCTTGTTACCCAGGCTGGAGTGCAATGGCGCGATCTCGGCTCACCGCAACCTCCGCCTCCTGGGTTCAGGCAATTCTCCTGCCTCAGCCTCCTGAGTAGCTGGGATTACAGGCACGCGCCACCACGCCCAGCTAATTTTTTTGTATTTTTAGTAGAGACGGAGTTTCACTGTGTTGACCAGGATGGTCTCGATCTCTTGACCTCGTGATCCACCCGCCTCGGCCTCCCAAAGTGCTGGGATTACAGGCGTGAGCCACCGCGCCCGGCCAAATAAATAATTTTTAAAAAGGCTGGGCGTGGTGGCGAACACCTGTAATCCCAGCACTTTCAGAGGCTGAGGTGGGCAGATCACAAAATCAAGAGATCAAGACCGTCCTGGCCAACACGGTGAAATCCCATCTCTACTAAAAATGCAAAAATTAGCTGTGCATGATGTTGCATGCCTGTAGGCCCAGCTACTCGGGAGGCTGAGGCAGGAGAATCGCTTGAAGCTAGGATTGAACCCAGGAGGTGGAGGTTGCAGTGAACCGAGATCATGCCACTGTACTCCAGCCTGGTGAAAAAGCAAGACTCCATCTCAAAAAAAAAAAAAAAAAAATTATCTGGGCATCATTGTGGGGAACACTCCCGTGTGAGACCCCTAAAAGGCGTGAGTCTCACTATACGGTGAGTTTGATCCCAAACACAGTTTCCTACTGGAGGCAGTCGAGCTATCCGGAAATATAGGAAGAAAGATGAATGATCAGTTTCTAATATCAACCACAATATTGTTTGGGCCTAAAACTATGCGTTGCTGCTAGACCGAGTGACCCCCTGCCGGCAACCGGTTCCTGCTTTTAACCTTTTTATGACTTTAAGAATAATCCTTAAACCTTACTTACCAGACTGCCTTGCACCCTAGATAATGGTTTAACTGTCAATATTTGCAAAGCAAAATGCCACCATAAGGGATGGCTTTGATTCCTGACTCAGAGATTCCTGAATGGGGAAATTGAGTTAAGTTGAGTTAGGAGTAGACAAAGGAGAATCCGTTAAAAGATATTCTGATAAGCAAAACCAGAGATATCTGCAGCTAGGAGGAATAATGTCTGGATGTAAACAAGCTTTGTGATCACAGGAAATTCTGTTACCTTTTACAACCACTGATTGTGTATCTGACTTTTCAATTGTATAGGCCATGTAAGGTATACATTTACATTTCGTCTTGCAACCATTGTGTATTTGACTTCTCTATTGTATAGGCCATGTGAGGCATACATTTACATTCCTCTTACTATGACGTAAACCAGAGCCAAGAAAGTGTACTTATTCCTGGCCTTTGAAAAATAAAATTTGCTGTTTAGGCACAGCGTATCAGCCCTCCAGACGCCTCGCTTTCTCTCTGTCTTTATTATTTTCTCAGGCGCACTCCCTCTTCCAGGTATTGGGACCCTCTTGCAGGTCGAGAGACCCCCGGGCAGACGTGCCTACCCGTCCGGACGGTCCACGACACATCATAGTGCACACCTGCCATCCCAGCTACTCATGAGACTGAGGCAGGAGAATCGCTTGAACCCAAGAAGCGGAGGTTGCGGTGAACTGAGATTGGGCCACTGCACTCTAACCTGGGTGACAGAGTGATCCATCTCAGGGAAAAAAAAAAAAAGATAAATATTAATTAAGCCTGATACCTGAGCTTTGGGGAAAAAAACATTATTGATTTATTGATTTTAGTGTTAATTAACATTAACAGATAATGCTTGGAGATCGTTTGCTTTCATCCCCATGGACATGTATGTATACTTATACTTGATGATTTTATGGTATAAAGCAGAGTTAATGTTTCTAATCAACTAAACTTAGAATAATACATAGTTTTATGTAGACATCACCGTTCATAAAATATAAATAAAAAATTTAATAGTATATCATTATCTTCCTCAGAGAATACTCTGACTGCCAGGACTTCTCCCTCAAACTTATTGCAGAACAGTTGCCCTAGAGGTAGCTATATTCTCTCTTGGAATTTCAGAGGCTTCCACAGTGGCCTGTGCCTTTGAACTCAATGATTATTTTTTAAAGGTTAGGGGGAAAAAATAGCCACAAATTTCACATACTATTGGCACTCTCTGTCCAGTATGCCATAACCAAACTTCCAATGTAATGACAAGATTTTAAGATTCTATAAACTTAGTACTTAATAATATAATTCTTATGATCTATTACTATTAGGAATGCTATCAGAAAATTCTAAAGTATTCAGTTAAGGCTGCTTTAAAAAAAAAAAAAAAAAAAAAAGGCTTATTTATTTTGGAGATTACCTCGACAGCTGAATCAGGATGATTAGTCTTGATTTCATATTCCAGCCTGTATTGAATGTAATCCAGATCAGACTCAGCTTTCTGGAACTAAAGATTAGCACAAATCATAATTGTGTAAACCAAAAGACTAATAGTAAACATGATACTTTATTCTTTTTTTCTCTTTACATTTGTTAGTGTTTCAATAATAAGTGATACATACTCATTTGAAAATGTAGAAATAAAAAGTATAGAAAACATTCATTATCCATAATAACTATGCTCTATTAAAAATTTAAAAACTAAGGCTGGGCATGGTGGCTCACACCTGTAATCCCAGCACTTTGGGAGGCTGAGGTGGGCGGATCACCTGAGGTCAGAAGTTCGAGACCAGCCTGGTCAACGTGATGAAACCCCCATCTCTACTAAAAATACAAAAAAATTAGCCCAGCATGATGGCACATGCCTGTAGTCCCAGCTACTTGGGAGGCTGAGGCAGGAGAAATGCTTGAACCCCAGATGGGAAGGTTGCAGTGAACCAAGACTGCACCACTACATTCCAGGCTGGGTGACAGAGTGAGACTCTGTCTCAAAAAAAAAAAATTAAATTAAATTTAAAATTAGTTAATATTTTAAAGTCATTTCTCTATGCCTCTCTCTTACATTTTGAGCCGAAGTCAAGATACTGAGTAGCCATTGTCAGATATTAATACCAAAAACTAATAATGACTTCAAGAATTCCCTAGGGTCATTGATACTCTCACCGGTTAGGCAGTGTTTTTCTACATCTGGCAGAAAATATAGTTTCAAGTTAAAACACAGAACAAATCTATTTCAGGAATATTCACATTGTTACCTTTATTAGCAATCACATTGATCAAAGAGTTACAGCTATGCGCCACCAAAATTAAGAGGGCTTAAAGAGTCACAAACTTCACAAGAAAAGCTATATATGGTATAGGAGTAACAGTTTGAATAACCACAATTTACTGAATCTGGGTGACAGCATGGGAACTTGATCTGTAGTAAACCTCCAAGGAAGAAAAAAGGGGAGCACTGCTACCCTGACGCCATTATGTATATAGGATGCCTGAATTAAAGCAAAAAGTTACATTTTAAAATATCAGTATTGGACTGGCCCTGTGGCTTACGCCTGTAATCCCAGAACTCTGTGAAGTTGAGGTAGGCAGATCACCTGAGGTCAGGAGTTCAGGACCAGACTGGCCAACACAGCAAAACCACTTCTACTAAAAATACAAAAATTAGCCAGGCATGGTGACATGGGCCTGTAATCCCAGCTACTTGGGAGGGTGGGCACAGTGGCATGTGACTGTGGTTCCAGCTATTTGGGTAGCTGAGGCACTAGAATCGGTTGAACCAAGGAGGCAGAAGTTACAATGAGCCAAGATCGGCCACTGCACTCCTGCCTGGGTTGCAAGGAACCAAGATCAGCCACTGCACTCCTGCCTGGGTGACAAAGCAAAACTCTATCTTGTAAATAAATAAATAAATACCAATATTTGGAATAACATGCCATTACTGAAAATGATGGTATACAAAATAACACTTAAGGGAAGGCTTTCATATTTCATTCTATGTATTTCTGTAGTATTTGTAATAAGCAGTTATTTAACCTTTTAAAAGGCCAGTGTTTTTTAAATGGTAATGTGTAGACAGATTTGAACATGACACTGTATTTATGACTCATTAAATACAAAACAGCCTTGGGCATGGCCTCTTTTTGTAAAAGAAATGTGTACACATATAGAAGGTTGAGAAAGACATATGACATGTTAAAAAGCTGTTTTCCGCCGGGCGCGGTGGCTCAAGCCTGTAATCCCAGCACTTTGGGAGGCCGAGGCGGGTGGATCACGAGGTCGAGAGATCGAGACCATCCCGGTCAACATGGTGAAACCCCGTCTCTACTAAAAGTGCAAAAAATTAGCTGGGCATGGTGGCACGTGCCTGTAATCCCAGTTACTCAGGAGGCTGAGGCAGGAGAATTGCCTGAGCCCAGGAGGCGGAGGTTGCGGTGAGCCGAGATCGCGCCATTGCACTCCAGCCTGGGTAACAAGGGTGAAACTCCGTCTCAAAAAAAAAAAAAAAAAAAAAAAAAAAAAAAAGCTGTTTTCCTTTTTTATGAGACAGGATATATTGCTCTACAGCCCAGGCTGAAGTGTTGTGGCACCATCACAGCTCACTCCAGTGTCAAACTCCTGGGCTATGGGATCTTCCCACCTCTTTCCCAGTGCACCTGGAACTACAGGCACATGCCATGACACCCAGTTAATTTTTTATTTTTTGTAGAGATAGGATTTCATTATGTTGCCCAGGCTAGGCTCAAGCAATCCTCCCGCCTCAGCCTCCCAAAATGCTGGGATTACAGGTGTGAGCCACCATGTCCAGAATAAAGTGGTTTCTTTCTGCAAGTGGTATAATCAATGAATTATTCTTAACTTCTTGAAATTTTGCACCTTTTACAGGATCTTAAAGCATATATTGCCTTGAGTTCATCAAGGATATAACCATGGTTCTTAGAGTTTACCGCAGAAAGGAAAACATGATTTCCACAGGCATAGTCTCCTATTCCTAGCCCAAAACACAGAAGACTGTTTACAGGGAGGTTGCGGTTCTTTATGAACTTTATTACTGAACTAAAGATTGATTCTCAAAATTCTGAAGCCTTAGTGGAAGGAAGGGCAAACATTGTTAAAAGCAGTTCTCAGGTCTAATAAGAAATTATGTACAGTTATTTTTAGTATATAAAAGATACTATTAGGACCTTTCAAATGTAGAGTAAGACAAAATGGCTGTCAGAAGTTAAAATACATCAAAGGTCAGAAGCTGTCATCATTGAACAGAATTTCAGAAATACACTAGTTCCCATCACTAATAATTTTTCTCATCATTGACCTAAATTGGAATAGAAAACTCTGCAATGACCAAAATTCTATCTTTATAGCCAAAACTTGGGGGAGGGAGGTCAGGTACATAGAAGAAAGAGAAAGTTTTTGTTTTTAAATATATTTTCCAGGTCAATATCTGATTTCCAACTCTAACATCAGGGAGTTGCTCTAAGCCTAAAAAATTAATGTTGGGTATATAATTACAAAGTGTGTTTAATATGATTTCCAAAAGGTGGAGGCTTTTCATTTGTCCTATATGCCTGTTAGATTAGATGTTGTGATTAAACTAATCAGTAATTACTTCCTTAAAAATACTAATGTGTGTGTGTCTGTGTGCGTACTAAGATATTCTTTTTTTTTTTTTTTTTTTTTTTTTGAGACGGAGTTTCGCTCTTGTTACCCAGGCTGGAGTGCAATGGCGCGATCTCGGCTCACCACAACCTCCGCCTCCTGGGTTCAGGCAATTCTCCTGCCTCAGCCTCCTGAGTAGCTGGGATTACAGGCACGCACCACCATGCCCAGCTAACTTTTTTGTGTGTTTTTTTTAGTAGAGACGGGGTTTCACCACATTGACCAGGATGGTCTCGATCTCTTGACCTCGTGATCCACCCGCCTCGGCCTCCCAAAGTGCTGGGATTACAGGCTTGAGCCACCGCGCCCGGCCTGATACATAACATTCTTAAGCACAACTTTAAGTAAGAGTCTTTCAAGCTTGTTTTATTCATTTAATTCACCATAAATTATGGAATTTTTGGCTCCAGAAATTCCCCAGACAGAATCTTTATTCTAGGAGCCCTTAACATGTTTATGAAAACAATTTTTTTTTACGTATTTTAAAGCTTGATATTTCCGTTCTGTTTGAAGTTTAGCATAATCTCATGTAGTTCCTTGAACAGTAACTTCTTTTTTTTTGAGACAGTGTCTTGGTCTGCCACTCAGGCTGAAGTGCAGCGGTGGCATCTCAACTCACTGCAACATATGCCTCCTGGGCTTAAGCAATTCTCCTGCCTTAGCCTCCTGAGAGCTGGGAGTACAGGCATAAATTGTCCTAAATTTGGCAAGTGAGAGCTCCAAGGTTTGAAAGATCTTTATAATAAATCTAATGTATATATCACAAAACATGATGAGTTTGGGGGACACAAAACTCTAAAATGTAGACTAAATAATTATATATACATTATATATTTTATTTCATTTTATTTTTTATTTTCTTGTTTGAGATAGAGTCTCGCTCTGTCACACAGGCTGGAGTGCAATGGCAGCATCTTGGCTCACTGCACCCTCCACCTCCCAGGCTCAAGCTATCCTCCCACTCCCACCTCAGCCTCCCAAGTAGCTGGGACTATAGGTACATGCCACCACACCCAGCTTAATTTTTGCATTTTTAGTAGACAGGCTTTCACCATGTTGGCCAGGCTGGTCTCAAACTCTTTTTTTTTTTTTTTTTTTTGAGACAGAGTTTCGCTCTTGTTACCCAGGCTGGAGTGCAATGGCGCATCTCGGCTCACCGCAACCTCCGCCTCCTGGGTTCAGGCAATTCTCCTGCCTCAGCCTCCTGAGTAGCTGGGATTACAGGCATGTGCCACCATGCCCAGCTAATGTTTTGTATTTTTAGTAGAGACAGGGTTTCATCAGGTTGACCAGGATGGTCTCGATCTCTTGACCTCGTGATCCGCCCGCCTCGGCCTCCCAAAGTGCTGGGATTACAGGCTTGAGCCACCGCGCCGGGCCTCGGACTCTTGACTTCATGTGATCCACCTGCCTTGGTCTCCCAAAGTGGTGGGATTACAAGTGTGAGTCACTGGCCTGGCCTCTTTTCAAGAGAGTGGTTTTAGCTATGGTTTCCTGTAATACCTGGGGGCCAAAAATGTGTTAATCATCAAATGATACCAAAAAGAAATGGCTTCTACTTTTAAATAACCTATATTATAAGATGATACCAAAGAGTACCCTTCTAATCAATGGTATGATGAAGTCAACTAAACTGTCAATTTTTTTTTTAAGAGGGAGTCTCACTCTGTCCTCTATCATCCAGGCTGTAGATGCAGTGGCTCGATCTCGGCTCACTGCAACCTCCACCTCCTGGGTTCAAGCAATTCTCCTGCCTCAGCCTCCCAAGTAGCTGAGATTGAAGGTGCCCACCACTACACCAAGCTAGTTTTTGTATTTTAGCAAAGATGGGGTTCACTGTGTTGCCCAGGC